GGCTCTTGAACATAAGAATCGAATGTCACGAATGCTTGAAGACAGAGATTTATTTGTAATGCGACTCAAGGCTGCACGACAGTCTGTTTATGAGGTGAAGTTACTGATTTCACGGAAACATTTATTCATGAGCTTTTTAGTTTTGCCTTAAGGTTCTTCTTTAACACAGTGGTATATTCTGTCTTGACCCTTTGTAATGATCATTCGAGTAATATTTCAGTAGAAACGTTCTTGAAAACATAGGCTATTAATCAGTCAGCCACGCTATAAACAAATTTTTCTGAAGGTGAAAGTGGACTGCATCAGATTTACTTTTGTTACAAGCTTTTGTTTACTGTTTGATTTAGAAAGGTCAAAGTGTCTTGCTCTTAAATTCTAATTTAATCCTTCGATTTGTTTTATATAGCAAACCCACTAGGTGTAGAAAATAGCTGTCAACAAATTAAAATGTAAAAAATTTTACATGAAAAAACTCCACAGTCATTTGGAAATTTTTAAAGATTTTATTTATTTATGGAGGTGGGGGGTAGAGAGAATCTCAGGCAGGCTCCACACCCAGTGCAGAGCCTGACATGGGGCTCAATCTCGACCTTGAGATCATGACCTGAGTTGAAACCAAGAGTCAAATTCCCAACGGACTGAGCCACCAGGCACCCCCATTTGGAAGTTTTTGTACTTGAAAGCTGCTTCTGTGGTTTCAAGAAATTTGCAGCACTCTGGTAAACTTCAAATTTAATTAGTCCATAGCTCTTCAAAATTTTTGATTTGTTTTGTTTTGTTTTGTTATACATTCTGTTAATAGGAAAAGCTTAAACAGTTTGAGGAGCGATTAGCAGAAGAAAGGCATAATCGCTTGGAAGAACGTAAAAGGCAACGTAAAGAAGAACGCAGAATAACCTACCATAGAGAAAAAGAAGAGGAGGAACAGAGGAGGGCGGAAGAACAAATGCTAAAAGAGCGTGAAGAGAGAGAGCGTGCCGAACGGGCCAAACGCGAGGAAGAGCTACGAGAGTATCAGGAGAGGGTCAAGAAATTAGAAGAAGTAGAAAGGAAAAAACGCCAAAGAGAGCTGGAAATTGAAGAAAGGGAACGGCGCAGAGAGGAAGAGAGAAGGCTTGGTGATGATCCACTTTCTAGAAAGGTGAGTATAGGAGTTACTCTGTTTTTATGCGATGTGTTTGTCACCCAGTTCTCTTGCATGATCCATATACCTCTGCACATGTCAGTGTCTGGGCTTGGTGTTTTAAATTGGTTGCATTTATCTCTCTTAAAGTCTTCCCAAATATAGGTTCCTAAGGGGGGAAAATTAGACTTACCTTAGCAGAGCTGGGATTTTAGGCTTCTTTTTAGAAATCTTCTCTATAAGAATGAAGTCTCAGTCTTCTAAGACTTCAGTATTTGACAAAAGAACATTCTTTAGTATATGGAAGAAGGACTGTTCTATTTTCCTTAAAGGGGGTTACTGTGAGTTCAGAGGATGATGTGAGTTGTCTAACTTCTTAGTACTCAAAGATGGGTCTGGTGGACCAGCAATGAATATTGACCATCTCTTGGGAGCTTGCTAGAAATGCTGAATCTCAGGCCCAATGTCAGACCTGAATTAGAATCTGCATTTTAACAATACTCCCATGGGGTGCCTGGGTGGCTCAGATGGTTAAACGTCTGCCTTCGGCTCAGGTCATGATCCCAGGGTCCTGGGATCGAGTCCTGCATGGGGCTCCCTGCTCAGCAGGGAGCCTGCTT